CGAAGCGCAAGTGGAAGATGCTGAGCGATGCGCTCATCCGCTACTATTGCTTGTAGTTCAAGCAGACGACACTGTCCCGTTACTACTCTGCAAAGCGGGAATGTAATGAATATATATGCGACTACATAAACAGGCTAAATGGATACGCTCGGAACGCCCGTCTACACTTCGAGAAGAGTGATCGTGACGCACAAGAGCACGTACAGCCGTTCCTGGCAACGTGCGGTGACGACAAGTTGGCGGAAAGTCTCTACCACCCTTGAGTCACCGACATTCATGAGCTCATAGTGTGGTGTAGGGATGTCCAGATTTGGCCATACATCCACCTACTTTAGACCAAGAATGGGCTCGGTCTGGTATCCCAAAATCTTAGAAACTAAGGAGCACGGTAAGTACTCAGCGATCTGTCCGGATGCTGCTATCCGAGCGTTGAGCTCAGCGGAAGGGTCGGTAGAGAGGCCCAAACGGAAAATAACACTGTCAACGATAATGTGGATAATATGCTGCAGGCAAGCGTCATCGAAGAGGGAGACGGAGCCTGGTGTTTTCCTGTCGTGTTGGTACGCAAGAAGGACGGTGAAGTGCGGGTCTGTGTCGACTACAGGGCACTGAACAAAGTTACGAAGAAAGACGTGTATCCATTACCCAGAATTGACGAAACGTTAGAGGCGCTAGGCAGTGCACTACTCTTCACTACGTTGAATTAAAAATCCGAGTATTGGCAGATCACGATGGCGCCGGGCGACCGCGACAAAACGGCGTTCACAACGAAGAAAGGGCTCTACAGGTTCGTAAGGCCTTTCGGTCTTACGAACGCTCCTTCAACCTTTCAACGACTGATGGGCAGTGTTCTACGTGGTGTAGCGTGGACGACGTGTTTGGTTTACTTGGACAATCGTGGTATTTACGATAGGCAGCATCGAACGGCACGTTGTGAAGCTAGCAGCGGTGCTAGAGTGGCTGGCCGCGGCAGGGCTGACGCTGAAACTGAAGAGATGTTTATTTGCGTCGATATCTCTGACGTATTTGGGACATGGGTTAAGCAATGAAGGCGTACGGCCACTGGATCGACTGGTCACGGCGGTTCGTCAGTTCCCCACGCCTAGGGATCCTACCGAAGCTAAACGATTTGTGCATCTCGCGGGCTATTATCGGCGTTTGTGGTTGGTTTTGGATCAATTATGGTCCCGTTGAACGAGTTGTTGCGGAAGACGGTGAATTGGGAATGGGGAGCAGCACAGATTGAGGCAATTTTCAGCTACCTTTTCGAGTCGTGACGGATGCGAGCCAAGTTGGATTGGGTGTGTGCTTAATGCAAGATCACGGTGACGGATGGCGACCAAAAACATACGCGAGTAACGTCAACAGTCCAACGGAAATCAAGCATGGCATTAAAGGAATTAGAGTGTCTAGCTGCTATCTGGTCTATTAAACGCATTCGACCTTACCTCTACGATCGACGATTCTCGATTGTGACGGATAACTCTGCACTACGATGGCTCATGACAAGTCCGAACCGTACTGACAAGTTGCACAGATGGGCGATCACGCTACAGAAGTTCGAATTCAAGGTATTGTACGAACCGGCAGCACTAATGCCGTCGCAGATGCATTGTTATGAGTACCCACGACGAGTACCGTGCTGACCGCACGAGGACGGCGGGGAAGGACGAAGCATTGGGATACGGTAACACCGGGAAGGATAGAATCCACAGCGATGCACAGAGCAACGCAGACGGAGAGCGTCATAACGGCACCATATGACGACGGAAGCAAGGATGTGGTACCGAGTCTCACTATGGCGGACGCCGGACAACCGGAGACGAGCAAGCAGGACGATGACGCTATAGATGACGGTACGAGGGTGATCCACATGGTGGCCGATACTGCAGCGGGCATGTCGACGGGCGCACAGATTGCAACGACGGAATCGGTCACGCCGGATGACGGCACCATGCAAACGGGTGGAATCGTCAGTTCGAAGAGTACGGGTAGCTCGACAATAAAGCGGCCTGGACGAGAGCTGCCAAACGAAAAGCCGAAGCGGCGCAACGAGCGTTGGAAGCGGCGGTGACGGGCAACACGGTACCTACAGCGGACGACAACGACGATGACGGCACCATGTAAACGGGTGGAATCGTCAGTTCGAAGAGTACGGGTAGCTCGACAATAAAGCGGCCTGAACGAGAGCTGCTAAACGAAAAGCCGAAGCGGCGCAACGAACGTTGGAAGCGGCGCAACGAACGTTGGAAGTGGCGGCGACGGGCAACACGGTACCTGCAGCGGACAACAACGACGATGACGGCACCAGGACAAATACGATGATTCGTAGGATGATGACCGAGCAGCAAGATCCGGGTACGGCGCATCCGAGTGAAGCATCAGGCGAACCAGACGGCCTGGAACAACCACGTGAGGACGCGGAACAAACCCGACATGACGAAGCACGAGAAGGGTGTGTGGAGTGACAAGACGCCCCGGTCGATCTACATGATGAGGACGCGCAGCACCACGCCAAGACGACGGACGTCAGACGACATAGAAATACCAACACGAAGCCGACAATTACAGTAACAAGACGAACAACGCCGGTGACATCATGGACCACAGCGACCGGACGGACAAAGACGACGGCAACTCGACGGACAAAAGAACCACAGCGCTGAACAGCGGTACCACGAGCACGGGGTCCGTGCACGACGACGAAGGTGGTGGTGCAGCAGGAAGAACAGCGCCGGAATGCGCATCCAATTCGAGGTCCCGAGGGCTCCATGTGGACGACGACGCCGCCAGTACGATGACGACGCGCTGATGAAGCAACCGAACAGAACGAGACGTGGCACGACAGCGGGGTGATGTGATGACACTCCAATTGACTGATGATGAGATCATCACGGCAGAACGAGAGCCGATTGGAACAACGATTGATTGCAGACGGTGAGCACCAAGGACGACGGGTAGCCAAGAAGCACGGTTTGAGGAAGATCGAGACCAAGGACGGATCATGGGTGGTGTTTCTACCAAGATTGTGGCCTGTAGTATTCAAAGAAAGTCACGATTCTATTTGGGCTGGTCATCTACGAGCTACACACACGCATGCAAGGATTAGTCAAACGTATTGGTGGTCTGGATTAGCACGTGAAGCGAAGCAGTGGATTCGAGGATGCCAGGAATGTGGCAGCAGGAAAGCACGACCACGCAAAGTTGTACACCACTACGGAGAGAGCCATCCAAAGCACTTTTTTTTAACGATCACAAAAAATAGGATGAGGAGCGCCACAGACGCAGAAAGGGTCACCAAAAGAAAGAGCAGTACACCACACCAAAAATAAGTGTCGTTTCGCAAAAATATTTTCTCTTCACAAATAGATATCGTTAGCCACTACTACTAAAATTGTCAAGAGCTTAGCTTCACAACATCTAAGAAAATTAAAAACTAACAGCATTGTGAGTGGAGCATCGATACAATGGAGAATGATCACGGCGGCCGTACAGGACGTCTTCCGTGGCACGAAGTGTGGAAATCTGGTGATCCTGTCCCTTTTGATGACTTTCTGGCAGGATTGCCGAGCTTTTCACGGCCAACAAGTGAGCTACACCACTGTACAATTGATCACGTTGAGCGCTACGAAGATGAGCTGGCTGTAACATGGCATGAAATGCGGTATATCGTAACTAAATGCAAATCACAACGCTGCAAAGCTACAACACAAACATGCACTTGTCGCTATAAGATCCTGGAGTGTCAAGAAAGTGACGGAAAAATTATATTCGAGCAAGGGGATCATACGATGGCCGACGATGCTCCACCACCCCCCATTGCATCTAAGCTAACCGCCGAGATGAAGTCCTATCTAGATGTCAAGCTGAGTGACTCTACGTCTATGGTAGCGCAGGCACTGTACGCATTCTTGTGCCGTGAGGTTAAGGATGGGCGTATCGGCGGACCTACCCCGCAGCTTGCACAGGTCCAAAACTATCAGAAAGGATGGCGGCGTAAGAACCGACCGGATAGTATGGACCCCGTGCTGAAGATTTGCCGTCAGCGAATGTACGGCAGCGAACGTTCACATTCTTGGCAAACAGACCCAGATGCATTGCTAATATTGTGCGACACAAAAGTTGTGGACGGCGTTGTGGAGCCTTCTCTCGGCAGGGGGTCTCAAGGCAACCCATTTCGCATTGGTGTGACGTGCAAGCGGCTTTTAGAGCGTTATGTTGAAGTGCAGCAGGACCTACGCTACTGCACATGGCCACAACACACAGCTGTGTGAAGCAGAAATACCCTGTTTCTGTATTGGGCATTTCAGATCGCAGTGGAGCCTTCTTGCCAATTGTGTACTGGTGCACATCTCAAAGGCGCAAAGAGGATATTGTTTGGTACCTTTCCTGTTTAAAAAGAGTCATATTGAAGGAATTTGGGGTGCCATTCTCGCCTGACTTTGTCATGATGGACGCAGACAAGGCCCAACAAAACGCCTGCACTGCAGAGCTACCTGGAACCACCATTTTGATGTGTTGGTTCCACGTAACACAGAATGTGTTTAAACATGCTCATGATGCAAAGCTGGATTTGATTTCGGTAAAGATGATTTTCAGGAATCTATATGATTTGCACTTTTCACGCGATGAACAACAGTACATTCGAAAGAGAGAATTTGTTCTGAGATCATGGCGCGGCGCTGGTGAGCTAAGTCCTCGTTTTCGGCGTGTTTCGAACCACATTATTTCTCAATGGATTACGGGGGCTCGTTTTTCGCGTTGGCAAGTTTACCACACACCTACAGGGTATGCTACGACCAACAACCCGTTGGAGCAATATCACAAAACATTAAAACTTGTAAATAACAGTCAGCGTGCAAATCCTGCCGAACTCGTTGTTCGCTTGGATTTATCACGTATTGCGCATGTATCATCGAAGATGACTTTTGTCGATAGAGCAATTGTGTCGAAAAGATTGCTTGCTGCGTATCGAAGGACCGACAAAAAAAAGGTGTGGGATGCAGAAGTGGTACACCGTGTACAAGATTCGGTGCTCGTTCGTGTGGCTCCGAAGCCCGCTGGTTCTTCCCAGGACAGTACATTTGAGGACTGTGTACTACCTAAGTCAGCGTGCACGTACGAATCTAAAAACTACGCAAGGATCATGTGGGAAAACATGTTAACCGGTGGATGGATCGTAGATGCAACAGGTCGCACATGCATGTGTCTCTGCTGGAACATAGCTGGGGTTTGCTTTCATGTAATGAAAGCGACTCAATTTGCTGGGCTCCCTTGCCCTGGAATTCCCATGCAGTCACAGAGATTTGAGCGTCCAGTTCACCAGCAAAGATCTGTGCGGAGATCGGCTACGGATGGTGAAGATGCAGCTATTGTCGCAGCGGGGCCGGAAGCAGGTTTCCCGTTGTATGGTCCAGCGACGTTGGCAGATAGCCAGGACATCACTGATACAGAGTGTACCAGAGCCGATGCGCCGCGCAATGCGAGTGCTGGTCCGGTAAGTCACGCCGTGTGTGTAGTTGTTGCCGCGGCCAACCAACGCGAAGAATCTTTCCTTCATTTGCCGCGTTTGGAGACTCCAGTCACTAATACTCTGCGTAGATCCCATCGGTCTAGGACTCCCACGCGTAGAGCACGTGAGGCAACGGCTCAAAACAAGCGTAGACGCAGGTAAAGAATCGGCCCTATGTTTCGATAGAACAGATCCGCTCCGATCATTGTGAGCCGATCATACTCTACATGTATTGCTCTCTACGTAACATCTGCCAATCATTTTTCTCTTTACATCCATACATGCACTTGCACTGCAAATTGCAGCTCTTGTTTGTTCCCACATTTAGATTTTTACGCGAGCAGGCCGAGAAGAGTCCGAATACGTGTGAGGCCACATCTTCCTAATCTGTCAGTATCCAAGGACAGTGGCACTAGCAACCCGAGCAACATTGTGTTCCTCACGTGCGACGCCTACGGTGTGTTGCCGCCCGTGTCTAAGCTGAGCGACGACCACGATATATACTCCTTCCTGTCCGGCTATACGGCCAAGGTTACCGGTACGGAGCGTGGCGTGACGGAGCCCACGGCCACTTTCGGTGCCGCCTTCCTGCCTCTGCACCCGACCAAGTACGCGGACCTGCTGCAGAAGAAGCTGCAGAAGCACAACACGTCGGTGTACCTGGTCAACACCGACTGGAACAGTGGCGGCTACGGCGTGGGTAAGCGCATGAGCATCAAGGACACGCGCGCCTGCATTGACGCCATCCTGGACGGCTCCATCAAGAACTCGAAGTTCTCGGAGGACCCCAACTTCGGCTTCTCCGTGCCCAAGAAGCTCGGCGAGATCTCGGAGAACGTGTTGAACACGAGTGAGGCCTGGAGTGAAAAGGAGGCGTACGACGTCACGGCCAAGAAGCTGGCCGGTATGTTCCAGGAGAACTTCAAAAGGTACGTGTCCACCGGCGTGACGGACTACTCCAAGTTCGGCCCCAAGCTGTAAGTTAGTATCAGGAAGGCGGCTAGAGGGCGTTGCCACACAATCAAACGTCGTCTAGTTCTCTTGAACCACCAAAAGTAAAGAAGAAAAGGTTTGAAAACAGGTCGTTGGTTGCCGTTGTTGTAAGGACAGTGTTTCTAGTAGGGTAGATCGGTGTAGTCGACCGATAGTGTGGAAGACAAGAGTGTGTTTTACCTGAGTGTCCGAGCTGGACGGAGGCCAAAACTATGAGCTGCGTTTTACTTTGTGTCGTTTGTGTCGTTGGGGTCATCGAGTGCCATGTGCATCGAGCTAGCTTGCGGTGTTTCACTACCCGTAGCACAATGCAACAACGCTTTGTAGGTCTCTTTTTAAAGTACAAGTACTGTACTGTACAAGCATGAAAGGGTATTTTTTTAATATGATCATCGAGATCTAGAGTCTCTAGACACTGTTAGTGACAAAGAAAGTCGGAGCATGTTGACCACAACCTCCACTCCGTCCCCCATCTTGTAGTCATTGTCGGCTGCAACGACGGCCGTGATGCAGCCAAGAGCAGATTCATCCAATTTTTTTCATATGAAGCTATTCGAACCGAATTGCCACCGACAGTTGAAGCTTTGAAACCAGTGCGGCCACACGTAGACAATGCTTCCATACAATACATTTACATTTAATTCGCAAGTGCGGATCTTCAGCGGTTGAAGATAGCTAAGTTCTTTCCGTTCTAAGAACTACATATATAGGGATCTAAGTGCCATTACTAGTGTAGTTGCGATTGTATGACACTGAGCTATCTCAGTGAACGTAGTGTTTTTACCGTTTGAGTTGGTGTGAAGTTCCTTCACATCTTGCATGTGTTCGTTTCTAAAGCGAGATACTGCCATACAGATGGTGCTTGCAATCCGCCACTATTTTGGTGCTGCTGCCCCCCCCAGTCGTGGGATTACTCATACACTAACGTGTGTACAGTCACTTTATTGGTGTTTTGGTCTGCTCCTCACTACGGAGCATGAAGGGAGGAGACGTTGGTGACAGGTGGGCGTGAGAAGTGGCCGGGCCCTTGCCTGACAGTGACGGTGGTCAACGCTTTGTGATTGCTGCGGTGGAATATGTTACACGTTACGCGGCGACAGCGACGGTGAAACAGCATACGGCGGAGAGCGTTGCAGCGTTCTTGATGCGGCAAATTATTTTAAGATTTGGACCATTTCGAGAGCTACTCGCGGATGGCGACCTGAGTTGACTGGCAAAGTCGTAGAGCAACTTGTTGTGATGCTCCAAGCTGAACAACTCAAAAATGTATAATACAGACCACAAATGATCGGATTTTAGATCGCTTCCATCGCACGTGGAAAGACTGTGTGACAGCCTACATGAATGACGAAAGGCAACGAGACTGGGATGTTTGGGTTGGCTTCGCTGTATACGCCTTCAACTATGAACGACACTGCACTGTAACACACCTAACGAGCTAATGATGGGACGTCGTCTACGAGGACCCAACGAACTACTACTACGGGTCTGTGTGGCCGAAGCAAGAGAGCTAACCAAATATCATGAACGGCTACTAGAGGCAATGCGCAGTAGTCATGCATGTGCTGAAGCAGCGCTAGAACGGGAGCAACGGAGACAAGCACGGTATTATAGTCGCAAGACAACGAATAAGAGGACGTTCCAACCGGATGATTGGGTGTGGATGTTCAGGCCTCCACGTGACCCCAAAGCGTCCAAGTTGGTACACCAATGGATGGGGCCGATGCGTGTGATTGAGACGGCGGGCTACGATAACTACCAGATTGAGCGTAAGGACGACTCGGGCGCGCACGAATACCTCATTGCTCACCTTCATTTTTGGTGACCTATTATTACCCTTCATCTGTGCTAAAGACTATGACGTTGGATCTCGAGGCACAGCTCAAATATAAAGACCAGTACGAAGACGAAGAAGATGACGCGTCGACAAGAGCGAGTGCGGGTACAGCGACGGCACCAGTGCAAGCAGTCTCTTTGTCGAGAAGCACAAAACGCAGTGGACGAACAATGGCGGGTAAAGAAACAGCAAGTCAACGGGACGAGATCACGATGGAACTTCGTCGACGACGAAGACGCAGCCGGACAGTATGTCGTCGAGTACGAATAGTGCCCACAACGAACACGAGGACGAGGACGGACGGGCTGGTAATCACGAACAGAACGACGATGGGTGTCTGCAAGGGCGTACGATGAACGCTTTCGTACCGAGAGAGTAGTGGAATACTTTGTGGAAGGGGAAGACGTGTAACAGGATGTCGATAACAATGCCCGATGGTGACGACAGCCATGACAACGCGAATTACGGCGGACTTGGACGAGACGAAGTCGAGAACGGCCGGCCAACTGCCGTATCCGTTCAGGCAGCTCTCTGAATCAGAGAGCTGCCAAAGAGTCGTACGGACTGGAAAGATCCCACGTGTGCGGTTCTGACTGCGAGATAGGGTAGTACTAGTCAGGGCCGCCGAAAAATAAATGGCACTTACAGTAATGGTCATAGATATTATCACATTATTTATGAGCCGTGAAAAGTAGTAGATCATAATTTATGTCACCAAGGTACTATTTTCATGCATAATTTATGAGAAGGTACACTTCTTACTTAGGTTAGTATGCGGAAAAGCTTACCTTCGGTTAGCCTCTCCGAACCAATCATATATTCAAACATCTATCCGACACACTGCCTCCTCACTTTCCAATTTTCTACTTCTCCTACAAGCTCTACACCTCATGCTAGCTACGCCTCGTCCCCGGTCAACTTTCTCCAACGCCCAGATTGTGGCGTACTTCTACCGGATGCTTTTGGCATCATGTTCGATGGGTGGACCCACTCATCCGAACATTACGTCGCAGTGTTTGCGTTCTATGAGCTCGATGGCGTTGCTAAGACGGCGCTTCTGAGCATGGCCCCGGTGATTAACGAGCCCGACGAGGACTTGTCGGCCCGTACCCACCGCGAGGTTTTGGTGGGAATGTTCGAGCGAGATTATGGTAAGGATGTAAAATGCTGCAAGTACCTGGTTGGAGACAACTGTTCAGTGAACAGGCGGTTGGCAACCATCATGCAAGTGCCTTTGGTTGGATGCTCTAGTCACCGACTAAATCGAGTCGTTCGTCAGCACATGGCCCAACACGACGACGATTTGGCTGCAGTGCAAGCCCTGATGACCAAGCTGAGGACGATTAAGCAGTCGGCGAAACTTCGGTAAGTAGTTTTTACTTTAGTATTGATATTAATTCTAATACCTTGTTGTGTTACTATTATGCCACTAATATTATATTTTTAATTGGTGTTTTTATTACTAGATTTAAGACTCCACTTCGCCCAGTCATTCGACAGGACACTCGCTGGGGGTCCACCTTCGCGATGGTACATCACTATTTCGCTCTACTGGGGTTCCTAGACCAAGACGACGAAGAACTTCAGGACCTGCTTCCGTCTGTGGCATGCAACCGTCGTCTTAAGACGCTCTACGCAGATCTCAAGGACTTCGAGTCGGTTTCCAAGGCCTTACAAGCGGAGAGTGTGAGCCTACTGGACGTGCGAGTCTGGTTCGACGGGCTTATCGAAGCCCATCCCGCGTTCGCTGCTTTTATCGGTACGTTATCCAATGTTACTATTGTTTTTTTAATATTCACTAACTAATTATGATACACGCAGGACCTCGAGCAAATATCGTTCATAGCCCAGACTTTGAGTCGGGCTGTGTCCGTGTACTCAAAGGAAATGGAGCCCGCCTCACCGCGTCGGAGAAGCGGGCTCTTCGTCCATTTCTTGAAGTAGCCACGGACCCGACAAACCATAGCGAAGAAGCCGAACCGGAGTCACTTGTGCAGCGGCTGGAGAAACGTCGCCGTCTTGAAGCAAGGGAAGCTCGGTACTGCCTCGTTGGCAGCATCCCCGCCACCTCGAACAAGGTGGAGCGATTCTTCAGTATTGCTCGCACAACTCTTGGGCACGAGCGTAATGGTCTACAGCCTATTACGCTTGAAATGATCCTATTTCTACGAGAAAACTCGCGCTTTTGGGATGTTTCTACTGTAGACCAACTTCTGTAGCCCATAACGCGCTAATCAATACAAGTACGAGTCGATCACCATAATTGATTTATCACTAGCAGATATGACATTATTTATGAAGTCGATTGCTAGACAACGTCACATTATTTATGATCACACTGAGCCTTCCATTCATATAAATATCATAATCGGCGGTCCTGGTACAAATGTTTGCGACAAGACCGTGATGAGCGGCACGGGCTTCACATGGAAGACGATTTTGGTGGAAGAAGCCACGAGAGCGAAGCCCGATGGGAACGCGAAGGACAGTCAAGTGCTCACTTCAAAATCTGCGGCGGAGAAGAAAGATTTAGCAAGCCGTAAGCAGAGGACGGGATGGTCACTCAAGTGAGTGCCAAAAGACGAACGAACGAAAGACGAGCGAGGAACGAAGCCAGTGACATACACATCGTTGACTTAGCTGGTACTGGACGAACGCGATGGCGGCAGGTGGAGGCTCACGGCGGCGCAAGTACGAATGACGCCACTACGGGACATTTGTGGGCTCCGGAGTGAACGAGAGTGTTGGCGTGGGACCTGGGCAGCTTGGAAACGGATTACGCGGACGGTGGTAGCGACCCAAGCGAAGAACGAGTCGAACAGGGAGCACTATGCAGTAAGTTGCCAGTATAAGCTCGACATAAATTAGCTGTCAAAAAATAGGAACGATGGTTCCGGCTACTTTGCGGTGGCCTGCACGAGTGTTTATAGACGTCCTACACACTGGGCTGGACGACAACCAGCGCGGCACTGTGACTGACGACCCGCCGGCAAGCAGGCGTTATGAAGAATTGTGACAATACTATCACCCTCTGGCCACAGCTCCTGATGGTGTGCAGTGCAAAGATCAGATTGGGCTACCCGTGCGAGTCCACGTAGGCGTGACACTGCACTATCACTTCTATTTGCGTATCGGTCTCTCCACCGTCTTCCTAGCCTGCCGCATATGCCGGTGCCGAGATGCCGAACGCGCATCTACAGTGGGCTACTAAATGGGTACCCCGTGCCCGACTAACTTGTATAAAAAGTCTTTCGATGTCTATATCAACTATCAATCGCCTCATGAATGATCAATGATACGCACTACTCGACAACTTGTACTTGGATTCACTGGATATATTTGTGAGGAGAAGCATTCTTTTTTCGAATACAATTTCTTAACTAAATCTATCTGGTCCACAGAAGCTGTGTCGGCAGCACAAACAGCTTTTCGTGGGCATCCCGCAGATCCATTTTGCAACTGTGTCCTTTTTTCTTTGGTTGCCAAATTTGTTGAGAACACCTCCTTTTGATGAAGAGTGGACTGGCGACTGCTTCAGATCAGCGGCGACGAATAGTTGTGAACACACGAAAGTATTGCCCAGTGACCGAATTTGCACAATACACCTCAGGAATTCTCGGTGGCAGTGGGCAATTCTACATAC